CGTTTGACGCACCAACAAGCGGTGACGCCTAGCCTGTGAGGGGGTGGTGCGTCAAACGCACTACCCCCGAATCACGAGGATTACAAGGAAACTTCTCCGAATGCCACTCCAAGACCGAAGCCGCGGAGCCGGCCTCGCTCCAAGACCGAAGGCGCGGAGCCGGCCTTGCTCAGACCGAAGCCGCGGAGCCGGCCTCGCTTTGCGGAATAGCCACTGGACTAAGCCGGCGAAAACATATGTAAACATGTTTGAAGGACCTGTCACCGGCAACATCCCGGAGGTCCTGGACAACGGAGAGGTGACTGACGGCACGCACGTCACAGCAGGGCAGCTGGCCCTCGCTTTGACGCCTTACGCGCAAGTAACAGACCTGGCGGTGAACAACAGAAAAGTTAGCTTGTGTTTTTAGGATAGTGAAGTAACACCCGACAAATTAGCTTGTGCTTTTAGTAGAATGAGATAACAGCCGAAAAGTTGACATGAGAAGTTGGCAGGTGAAGTAACTCTCAAAAAGTTGACATGAGAAGTATGGCAGGTGACAACCTCGACAAGTTGATACGAGAAGTAAGGCACGTGAAGGAATTCCCGACAAAGTTATATTATGGTTGGTAGGTGAAGTAATTCTCGGGACAAGTTGGTACGAGAAGTTGGCAGGTGGCGCACCACGTTGGCATGAGAAGTTGGCAGGTGAAGTAAACCTCGACGCTAAGGGAGAAGTTGGCAGGCAATTCTCGACGTTGGTACGAGAAGTTGGCAGGTGAAGTAACCCTCGACAAGTTGGCCATGAGAAGTTGGCAGGTGAAGTAACCTCGACAAGTTGGCATGAAAAGTTGGTACGAGAAGTTGGCAGGTGGAAGTTGGCAGCCGCTTTAAGAAGAAACTGCAATGCCTGGGAAAGCGCGTATCGAGTTTGCTCCGGTCGGTTGCTTTTTTCCTGCATGTCCCTTTAGGCTTGAAGCAGTGACCAAGATTCTAACGCTAGGGGTTTGTCTTTTCCCCTGTGTTTTAATCTTGGTTGAATCTTCGGCCGCGTGGCCATTTCTGCTTCAAGCCTTTTGGTAAGGGACATGCCTGGAGGGTTTGACCCCTCTTTCGTTCTTTTTTGAAGCCACCCTCCCACCCTTTCACGGCCCAGGTGGCATCCAGCTTCCACAAGGCCTGATTGAGGGGCGCATGCGCCCGCACGAATGGAAGCTTGTTAGCTTCCAACATTTCGTTGGCTTACTGCATCTCGCTGCTCCCGCAGGACCATTTCGAGCATACGCAGCAAGGCCCACGCTGTGCACGCAATCGCACATTAACGAATGCCATCGGCATTCTGTCCGGCCCGGACTGGCCCGCAGGAGGACGCATCCTCCCATGCACACCCATGCACGCATTGCATATATGTGCAACATACCTCTTTTTGTCTCACACCCCATGGGTAAAACACCCTGTGTGATGGTCGAACACGCAATGTTGACCTAAGGGGGTATTCCGACAGGCTCCGCATGAGATGCAGGAAGATGGAGTGGACGCGCATCGTCACTCCACCTGCATCTCAGAGCCTGCACTTCTAAGCAACGCTCAAGTAAAAAAGCGCGTATCGAGTTTGCTCCGGTCGGTTGCTTTTTTCCCTGCATGTCCCTTTAGGCTTGAAGCAGTGACCAAGATTCTAACCTGTTTGAATCTTCGGCCGCGTTGCCTCTGCTTCAAGCCTTTCGGGGGACCTTTTTTGAAACCATCCCTCCCACAGTCTCAGGCGCAAGCGTTGCCCCCAGCCATTCAACTTTCCCCAAGTCTGTTTCACGCCCCTGAGGAAACATACCTCGCGTGAGCAGAACAGGATTCTAACTTATCTACGACGCGGCCACAGGGCACCCTTAAGCGGCTTTGTGCTAATCCTTTCGCGCCATGCTTTCCATGTGCAGCTTTGAAAATTGTGCGTGCGCTGCTCATGGTTTTGATTGACTTCTGGAATTCTGTGTCAATGTGGTATTGGTGCACGGAGGGGTCGCTCCCGATGGCTCGATGTTTTTGGTGGAGCCACCCAAACGCGGCCAGGAAGGTTTTGGGGTATTCTTGATCGGTGCTCCGGCGTACCCGAACTTCATCTTTGTAGGAGTCTTGGCGGCTTTCTCGGCGAGTTGGGGCAGCTGGGCTTCAAATGCTCGCTACTCGGAACGTTTTTGACCTGAGTAGCGTTTTCTGGCTGCGTTGCCAGAACGCCGCTGTCCAACAAAACCGGTTGAATTAGGGCCTAGAATGCGGACCCGCAAACTTGTCAGCTGCTTTCTGAACTTCGGCAACAGAAGGAATTTGCTTTTCTGGACCAAAAAGGGAGACGCGTTTCCAGCATTTTCGTGTTGCGAGACAAGGCACCGAGCCCAGCCAAGTCTGCGCCGAGGCGGCGAGCTCCAGCTCGAGTGGGCCTTTGGGAGTTTCTTAAGATCAGCTTGTTTGGCTGCATTGCCTGCCAGCGCGCGCTCGTGAGCTGCAAGATTTTCACAACTTGGTTGGCGACGCTTCAGCCGCAGCAGTTCAAACAACAGAAAGTAGTGCGGCAGCGCGGAAAGTTTCGCGCTAGTGTGGCTAGCGGGTGGCAAATTGGTTGGCATCTGTATTTCATGATGGCTGAGTTGCGAGCAATTTTGGAATGGTGTTGTGCCGTTGATTATGGACATCGGACATTGCTTTCACTTAGTTTTATGGCTTTTACTGCGATGTTGAGCACGCTGCGCATCGCAAAGGCACGGATTGTCTCCCTTTCTTTTACGGCAACTTCGGTTGCGCATGTGGTTTTGATCTTACGGTTTCAACTTCTTGACTGCTTGATTGCTGACCCTTTGTTGGGTTTCGGTTATTTGCTGGCCGCTGTTTCTTGGTTTGTTCGGTCTGTTGTGCCTTCCTTTGGTCAGCAATCTTGCATTACTGCCGCTGGGGCTGTGGTGCTTCGAATTTTTGTTCTGCATCGTACATAGCTGACCATCTTCACAGACGGAGGCAGTGAGCAAGAAAAACAAAAATCGACAGTGCAAAAACTGTCCGGCACTGGCCGGACTGTCTCAGCAACCAGTGTGTTACTCGACAAAAAAATGGCTTCCTTCCTACACACGAGTAAGCGCGGCGTATTTTGCGTTTTTAGGCACTTGGGATTCATTTCTTCCTGTCGGCGCCAGGATTGTCGAAGAGAATGCCAGGCTCGTTATTACCATGTTGGTTCACAGCGAACTGCAAACGCGGTGCAGTCACGCTTGGTATCTTGCTCTGTTTGAACTTGGTTCTTCTCCTGCCTGGTTGAGGCATCCTTCCCAGCTATCTCCCAGCTGTGTATGACTTTTGGAGGTGATTTGCTGAGGAACCCGTCTTTCAGTTTGTTTTGTTGGTGGTTCTTTGTTGTTGTTGTTTTTGTAGTTTTGTTCTGTCTTTGTTTTGGTTCGGGTTTCCTTCCTCTTCTTTTGATTTGTCTTTTTGTGCTGAAGCAGCGGACCTGCGTGATCTCGATTGGCCGCACGAATCACAAAAAAGGGTGCTACTCGACAAAAACAAGTTAACTGCTGGGTACTTGCATTGCCTGCTTTCTCCTGCTGGCCTTGTTGTCTTTTGTTTGCCTTGTTGCTTTGGTTGGTTTTTGTCAGCCTCCTCTTTTGTCGCTCTAGACAGGCGGCTGCGAGGAGCAACAAGAACTTAACTAAAGTGAGGAGCGGTTCTAGATTGAAACATGCACAATAACCGTCAGTCTAAATTCTTTCAGGCAGCAAACTTCATGTATCTGCGGGTCGTGGGGAGGTTTTGGTCCACATTGGCCCGACAGAATCCGCTTCGGGCTTGGGCCGAGCCATTGACAAACCTAGCCCCTCCTTAGGAATTTGTTTCTGGGTTTAGTGGGAGTTTCCATTTAACAACCCAGTAGACGCAATGCTTCATTTTAGGCAACACTCCGTGTTTGCACGCATGCACAGACCTGCACGCACGCACACACACACACACCTGCATGGGGGTTGATCAACATTCCTGGTCCCTAAATGACCATGGGTGACTTTTACAATCAATTTGGATATATCATCTTTTCAGTGGTTGTCCTCCATGGTCATCCCATGAGGAACACAGGCAGGCTGTCATGTTTTGCTGGAAGGCATTGAATGCTGCAACGTGGCGAACCTCATATCGTGTTTGTCGTGCGGCGTTTTTCGTTGCTTGGTTTCCACACTGCGCGTGAGGCTCGAACGATTCTTACGGCATGTGTGCTTGCAATGGCAGAGTCCGAGCTGATTGTGCACATTGAGCAGGCTGGCCATGGGAGATCCTTACGGATCTGGTCAGAACGTAACGGACCATAATTATAGGTTTTGTCATTTAATGTTCACCCCATATTAATCATTTTTTTGTTTTGGTGTTCTTTCCCAACAGTGATGATTCCCCACTAAACCCAGGGACACTTCCCTAATGAACTGAGGTTGAAAAACAACCTGGGTCATGCTTGGTGTGCTAGGGTGATCGTCGTTCGACAAGTTTCCTTTGAGGCCCTCTGGCCAAAAGGCGTGGTTCGATCCTTGAGCGGGCTGTGCGGGGCTTAGATGGGGTTTCTGCTCAACCCCCAACAATGGCTATGGGGAGGGGAAACTCTGGCTCTGACAAAGGTAGCCCCTCAAGGGCTTATCCTTGGCTTAGGCTGCATAAGCATATTACCGTTGCGTAAAAGGGAAAGGATATGGGAGGCTCCCATGCCCTTTCGAACCTTCGGTGAGGCTGCGGAGCTTGGGGGACAAACATGGAAATCTGGCCAGGCACTCAGGGGTTCCATGCAGGGGCCAAATGGGTGTGGCTCAAAATTAGACGGGAGGGGCAAACCGCAGGTGTTGTTGCCTTTGTTTCCACTTACGAAGGCAACCCATTTTGGACTTCCGTTTTTTTTCTTCCAGCCACGGCCATTTCAAATGGCCCAAATGGCTTCCCCGTTTCTTCCGGGGAGTCCCCGAAATGTTTTTTGTCGTCCATGTTCCTTTGGCTTGGTAGCTAGGCTTCCATTGGGTCAGTCCAGCGGGGGAAAAAAATTGAAAAATCTCGAGGGTTCGCACTCGAGAGCTTCCATTTGTGAAGGTTTGGTCTCCTGAGAGTCCTGCAAAGTGAAGTCCCAATCCCCCCGTGAAAGGTCCGAGTTGCTTGGGGAGGGTTCCAAGCCTTGTATGCTTCCATCCTTATTTCTTTTTTGGTGCGACCTCGCCGTCTCCTCTGGCCCCGGAGATTTCGCACGTTTGTGAACAAGTCCAGCTGAATTCCCGCTCACACGCGGTCGAGCACCAAGCACTCCCTGCAGCTGTTCAGGAAATTTTGCCCAGGTCATAGTCGCTCAGCCGACGAAGGGCCATATCCTCGTCAAGGCGCCAGTCCTCGGGCCGTGGGTATGCGTCAAAACCTGCAGAAACCTGGGGTGTCTTCTCCCCAGCCATCTGGTTCCTGAGGTCTTCAGGTTAGTTGGTTTAGGTGGGGGCTCGCGTTTCACCCGCTCACAGTGTTCGGTCACTTTTGGCAGGGGATCAAACATCGGACAGCCCAGCACTTGTAGCTTCCCTCAAGTCCAGGCTGCAAAAGCACACCTGATGCGAGCAGAGAACCAGGGCCCTGCAGACAAGATCGAGGAGGCGAAGCCTGGGCTGCGTGCCATCATCGAGGCCGAAAGCCCAGAGAGGAGCTGAGAGGCGGTTGACCCGGGATAATTTTTCGGCCCTCAATCAATGGGGTGTGAAAAAAGAGTGATCTCTTTGCCGGGTTGATTATTCCATGTTTGACACAATATATATATATATATATATATGTATGTATGTATATATATATATGGTCCCGTCCTCCGCCCTCCTACCCCCTCCCCCCCCACCGCCCCCAATGGTATCTCCCCCCTTCCCCGCCCCGAGAGCCCCCACCCGCTTTTTCTTCTTCTTTTGTCAGCTTTCAATGGGCGTCCGTACCACGGCAGTTCCTTCTAAACTTCCTCCTTTCACAAGCAAGCATGCCAACTAAGACCCTAAGACCAAACGCAAAGCCCTAAAACCACTGCACAGGGCGGGCAGGCCGTTTCTCCAAAGCGCATGCCAAATCAATCTTGATTTCCCAAGCCAACATAAGCCAACCCTAAGCCGACCAGAAGCAATTCCTAAACCAACCCTAAAACCACGCGTAACCCAATCCTAAATGAACTCCAACCAGCCCACCCACCATGCCACAGGGGGGTTTGGGGGGGGGGGGGGGTTGGGCTGGACCATATATATATATATATATATATGTATGAATCTTGGATTGCCTCGACCCTTGGGTAACAGAAAAAGACACATCGGAATTGATGTCCACCAGCCATGTTGGGGTATTCTCATCGAAGCTTTGCATCATTGCTCGCCGCGCGCGTCTGATGCGAGGAACAGTTTCCCGATGCGGATTGCCCCGAGGAGACCAGACTGACGCTGCATGATTCCAATGATGGATGGGTTTTTCTGCCCGGGTGTCTTGCTGCCCTTTCCACGACACCCTGGGCTCAAGATGGGTTAGGCGAAGAAAAAAGAAGGGGGACCAAGTGGCAAGCGGCAAACAAGCAATATGTCATTTTTCAAGAGCCTCGTTTTGTTAACCTGATTTTCTCGATCATCGAGTTTGATCGAACCTTTAACTGGCAACACAATTCCCAAAAAAAGAAGGAATGTTGATTATTTTCAAGATGCACAGAAAGACCCCTGTTTTTTGTTGGCCCTAAGGTAGCCCAATGCGATCGCAGGGCCTCATCTTGCATATTTTGATCCGGGCAAAGTCGTTAGGAGCTGCAGCCCGCTGAGGCCGGGAGTCAGCTATGAGAGGGATGGTCCTGGTGGGATTTTTAGATGTGGCTGTGGGTCAAAAATAGATACCTAAAATGGAACCCTGGTAAGTGGCAACATGGCCCAAAGCGTGTGGTCCCCCTGGTGGTTTGATTTTGGACCCACACCCATGTGTCCTTCTCCCCTGTCGTTTTCTGGTTTGGATGGGTGATTTGGGGGGACCCCCCGTACCTCTTGAAAATGGAGAGAGACCTATGTAGGGATAATGTGATTGTGAGGCTTGGCCAAAGCATCTTTTGGTGCTGCAAGTCTCTCTTTCCCTCTTTCTCTTTGTCTGTCTTTCTCCCTTTCTCTCTTTCTTGTCTTGCCTTGTTTCGTCTTGCATTCTTGCATGCTTTCATTCTCTGTCTCTCTGGCTCTCTGTATTTCTCTTCCTCTCCATTTTCCTCTCCCCACAGTGGCTCATATGAGGCCTGTCAACCCAGGTGGCTGCACCGGCAGCACCAGCAGCACCGGCGCCTGCGGCGGCGCCGGCGGCGCCGGCGCCAGCGCCTGTGCCACCAGCGCCGGCGCCGGCCAAAGCACGAGAGGTGGCGCCGGTGCAGGCAGGGACTTGGCCTTTGGTTTTGGCATGTGACATCATGGCTCGTTGCCTTGGCGCAGGCGCCTGAGAAGGCCGGATGACCCTCAGAAAGAGAGAGAGAGGGAGAGAGAGAGAGTCTGTGTGGGCATTGTGTGGCATGCCTATGCTGTTTTGTTTGTTTTTTAGGTTTCTGCAGACTTCGCAGGACTTGCAGGGCTTTTTTCCTGAATTTGCGTTTACTTGATGAAAGCTGTTTGTTTGTTCACGAACTCGTACAACGTTCATCTTGTTGCAGGATCAGTTGGGCCTGGTTTGTTCTTTCAGCACAGATCCTCCAGGTTGTCATTGAGGGACATTGCCACGCGCGGCGGCGCCAGCTCCTGAGTCGTCTTGTGGAACATGCCCCCCCACCCCCCATTTTGTCTTTTCTTCGGTTTTCGTCTTGAAACCCTTCCCGACCCTGGGAAGAAAGAAGCCTCAGTTGCGCAAGCAAAAGGCTGCATCTTTGGCCTTCTACCAACGGGCGGCCTTTAATTTCTAGACCCGGGCGTGAGAAGATCAGCGGCTTGGGGCAGTCAGAATCCCTCAACGCCTCAATTGGTAGCGTGCCCTCCAAATCGATCTACTTCGACTGGGAGCTCAAAAAGTCCGATAAGTCTGGAGGAAACACTCGGAGGTGCCCAGATTCACGGCTTTAGCGTGACTTCTTCCAGGGGACTTGCGAATGTTCCACAGAATCCGCCCTGAGGCAGCGCATGAATGTGAATCACAAAACAAGGGACGAACCTTCAGCGAGGCTGTGTTTGGCATGGCAGAAGTTGCGATTCACACATCGCGATGCTTGCGCCGCGCAGGCTTGCTTGGTAATGGCAGGATTGTTGGCAGACAAATGCTGCAGGATTGACCTGTGTAGTCCCATTCATGAGCAATTTAGGTGCTTGAGACCAAGGGTTGTCCACGTCTTAGACGGTTTCAAGCAATCCAAAAGGACGATGATCCAAGGGTTGTCCACAAGAATAGCCACTGGAAATTAAGGTGCGGAAAGACGCCCGTTGTTTGACGATGTGCTGTGCGTTTTGGGTTTTGGGTTTTGGGTTTCCTTTCTTTTTCTCCACTGCCATAGTAATGTTCGCAAGAACATGACGAGAATGTTGGAATCTCGGGCACATGCCATAGTCACCCCCCATCCAGCAGCTGTCTCAGTTGGGTTGCTTTAGTTTTGCAAAGCCTTGGCTGTTTTTGTTTCAGAAGAGGTGTTGACTGCAGACTCACCACTGAGTTCGTGCACCCTTTTATGGCACTTCACCGGTGACGCTGACATGTGTTTTGCGGATGTGCAAGTGCTTGACTCCATTTTGGCACACTCAACGATCAACCTGTCAAAGGTATTTGGGACATCCGTTGCAAGGGTTCCTAGTAGGGGAACTATGACTGTGGCTCACAGCAGCAGTTTTGCTTTTGTTTGTATGTAATCTTATATATATATATATATGATGCAGACGCACACATACAAATTTATACAGCATCTTTAAGCTATTGCAGAACATGCAACGGCACACGCCAGGACCTGTTGTGGCAGTGTGTGCGGAAGAGTTCCTGCTTCCAGCGGCCTGGCGGTGTGAACAAGAAAAGGCAGGGCTTCAATGTGACCATTTCACTATCCATGCACCGTTGCCGGGTTCCATTTGGGCTTGTCTCACATTTACATGGTCGGGCCCCATGTGTGGTTTCCTGAAGTCGCTAAGAAGGCCCTCAGACCCATTTCGACGACACGCCATGCCGAAGGTTCAGTGCTGAGCCCGGGAATCTGCTGGGCCTTCACTGCCAGCAGTACAGCGGCCTTGCCGGCGATCGGGCTCCAGCGCCCAGAGGGAGCTTGGTTCAAATTTGCCATGGGTGGCTGGTCTTTGTAAGGTTGGATTTTTCTACAGTGGCGCTTTTCCTTTGGTCTCCCTTGAAAACCACCAAAAAGGGGCATCGAAACTCTCCCTGGTTTGGGGGTTGGTCGGAAGTTTCGGGGTGATGTTTTAAAGCGCCCTGCGATTCTTTAGGCGGTTGGTAGCAAGCGTCGGCCCTTTTCAGGAGCGGGGAAAGTCTCACGAGAGAAGTCTGACGTCAAACTATGTGAGTGGCTTGCTGTTCTCGGAAATGGTAACCCAAACCGAATCAGCAGGCTGGCCTGGGATTCACCAAAGATCTTTCACGGGGGAAAAAAGTGACCTGACATATGGCATGGTTCAAAACGCAATTGCGTAGGGTTTCGTAGGGACAGTCATCAGAAGAGTCTTTGCGGAGAACATCATCCAATGCAGAGCTTGCAATGGCACAAACAAGCAATTTTGAGCTCGGCGCAGGCACGCCCACACACTGGCAACTTTCGCTGTCCAGTTGGTTCATGTCGTGTAGAGCCAGCAGCAAGACCTGAAGCCTGTGTGGGACTTTCCCAGGTTAGGAGCTTGACAAGTCCATCCCCAGAGTTCACCCGAGGTCGTGACGGGTATCCACGTTGCAAACCTCTAAGCGACAGGGGGTTCCCCAGTATGGAGGGTGTTTATCTGATTTATTAGTTGGGGGGTTATTCTTGTCACCCCACCGATCCGGCGTCCAACGGGACACCTCGAATCAAGAATTGACCAGGCCTTCATGTCGACAACGGATCAATAAACCTGTCCTATTACTATGGGGCGTCCTTGGATTTAGGGGTTCATCACTTTTTGGAGGGAACACGCGCTCTGGTGGCTTTCAACGTCGCCTTAGGGGCGATGTTAGGTTGGAGAAGCAGGCCGTAGGCGACGCAATGTGCATGTCCTAGGCCTTGGATGTGCGGCCGAAGCAAGTGGGTGCCTGACCAAGATCGGGGGAAAGATGCGGGTGTGTGCCTTTTTTTGGTTGGCATTCGGAAGAGACACCAAAAGGTAAGCCGTTTTAGGGGCCCACCTTTTGGAGGCCCCACAATAATTCCGCTTTAGGAAACTTGTCAAAATACGGAAACCCAACTTTGAGCATCACCCCATCATGCGTGGGGTTTCCGCATTTCGACGCACCCAGACGTAGGCCAGAAGCGGTCCATCGAGCTGGTCCAAAGCGTCGCCAAGGCGCCTTTTGCCTCATAATCGGAGCCCTAGAATATGGTTTTTTCCTTCTTTTGTTGGGTGGTTTTGAAGGGGAACCAATTTTTTTTTGTTTGGGGGGGGTAACACATGCTCGCGCATGATTTACTTGTGGCTTCCCTGTACCATCCAAGTCAAAATACTTTGAGCAACCTGAAAAACCTTTCCCCTGAGGGTCCTTTTGTTTGGGGCTCCCTGATTTGGGGGTAGTAAACAATGGGCCTTTCAGTATGATGTTAGTCTTCCAAATCCTGAAGCACCTCCAAGACTTGCCAAAGCAGTCATTGGCATGTGGCCTAGTGGCATCGCGATGTCCGCCCGCCGCAAAAAGGAAAGGCTCAAGAAAGCGCAGGCGCGCCAGTACCCAGGCTCTGCGACCCCTGATTCAGGCTGGTCGCTTTTTGCCTGCAGGTCAAAGTTGAACGGCACGGCGGACGGCTGACATGCGGGCGAAGGAACTTGGTGACTACTAAAATTAATTCATTTGCGAGGGCGTCTTGGTGGAATTCTGCCCAAGTCATATCTACAACCCTCACAAATATCCAACAAGCACCAATAAAATAGACAAGACACACCAGCAAAAACACAGAGAAAACAGACCAAGAAAGCAAAGCACACAAGCAACACAATCCAAGAAACATCTCTCTCTCTCTCTCTCTCGCTCTCTCTCTCTCTCTCTCTCTCTCTCTCTCTCTCTCTCTCTCTCTCTCTCTCTCTCTCTCTCTTTTTTCCCTCTACTATCCATGTTCGCGTTCTAAGATTGCTAAGATTGCAATGAATAATCCTCCGAACATTTTGGATCGTAAATCCAGGGGTCTAAAGTCAGGGTCATGGAAAGTGGTTGTGTTTGGATCCAATTCTCTGAATCTGCTGGACATCTTGGATCTTGGACATCTTGTACATGGATCCATTTCTTTAAACCTCAGGAGCTGAATATTTGTGGCAAACTGTTTTCCTCGAGAAGTAAATTTTCCAAGCCTAGACTAGCGGCTGACTCAGACAGCAGTTGCATGCCATTTTGCGCATGGAAGAACCGGGGCACCGTCTTGCAATGTAAGGCGGATATTGGGGTGGGGGTGGGGGTGGACCAACATCCGGAAGAAAAAAAACCACACAAGCACACAAACGCAAAGCAGTCGAGGACCAAACAAAAAAGCAACGCCAAACAGGCAGACGAGAGGATCATGAGTGGCTAGGGGTACCCCTTTTTTTGGGGGAAAAGAAGGGAAAGAAGGAGGCAGATCACAACTTTGCCGGGATCCCCCATTTCAAGACACACCCATTTGAAGACCGAAGGGAATCTACCCAGCTTTGGGAGACAGGTTTTTTGTTTTGGGCTGGCCACGGAAAACGGCCGGCTGGGCTAGGCCCTATGCCGCTGCTTCGCCCTTTGGCTGGCCAGGCCTTTGGCCCGAAAGGCTTTGGGACGGCCAGAAGCAGAACGCAGATCAACGGCTGAAGGGCGCCCGAAGTACAGTTTGTCCACTCATGGAAGGGGAGAGACGGCCTTTTTGAAGAGGATGGCCGTCTTCCAATGCCAGACCCCAGCACTGAAGTTTTTTTTTTTCTTTCTGCAGATCGAGAGGGATGACGTTAGGCGATTACACGAGCCGAAGATTGCCATTGGAACAGGGGCTTGGAAATAGAATGACTCTTGACAAGGGCTCATGTTTCAGATGCCTCAGATTGAGGCATGGGATGCATGAGGGATGGGTGCAAAGTTGGCTGCCACAGTGCAGTTTGCTCGTTTGAGCATTGAGCTCAAGGATTCAATGAAACAAATATCAAAAGAAGCAATCCGTAAATAAGTAACTGACAAATCGGTGGCTTTCCTGATGCCTTGTTTGGAAAGTGGCCACCAAGCTGATGGCCTGCGAACAGGCTCCGTGGCAACGTAGGGCAGGTTTTGATCAAAGCCAACTTTCGTCCGAGCCAGGCAGCGCGCCGCTTCTGTGCAACCCTCAGACAGAGGAAATCGCCTGGCGGGCGGTTTTTTGGGTTCCAAAAAAGACCGCTCGACACAGAAAGTGGGGATGTCCTTGTTGTGTCCCTCTTTGGCGCTTGAAGAAAGCGGAACCTCAAAAGCGGAGACTCCCAAAATGGTAGGTCCTTGCTTTTGGCTTGGGCTTGAAAAGCGAAAAGAAAGCCAAGCCCAGGGGAGAAGTGATCGCCTGAGAGGCTCAAAAGGCTTTCGTGACCCCTGTGAAGTGGTTTCCACCGGATCCTGGATTGACCACTGCATGTTGAACCGCCAGTCATTGAGGGCCCAAAATGTGTCCACTCCCATGCTACCGCAACCTTTATTGGTGCCAAAACGGGAAAACCAGGAGGCCCATTATTTTCCAGGGGACCCCTTGCTTAACCAGGGGACCCAGTATTTAACCAGGAGACCCATTACTTAACCAGCGGACCCATTACTGATCCAGGAGACCCATTGTTTAACCAGGCGACCCATTGTTTAACCAGGGACCCATGATTTTGGGTATGGGTTAAAATTAAACAACCAGGGGACCGCAGGTTTTGGTCGATCCTTCCATTTGCCAGGGCTTGCGCCATTGTGGGCACCTGTTTTCTGGTTGCCACAGCCACACCCCACATGGTGCGGTCGTCGCGAGGCCGCGGTCTTGCCACATCCCCGGTGCGCGCACACCGGCCTGCGATCCAGGCGCTTCAGGCGGCTGCGGTTTACCTTTGGATGTGCGTCGTTCTTTAGGGGATGCCCCCCCCAACGTGGGTGTTTTCCTTTTAGTTTCTCTTAAAATCCACCGAACAATTGGGAACTCGAAAAAAGGAAAAGGAAACATAGAAACATCATACCCACCTTTCTACTTGACTCCCCGAGTGGCTTGGCCCTTAAGTGTTCCAGTTTCTTGTTGGACTTTTTGAGGTGTAAGTGAAACCAAGTTGAAAGGCATCAGACCCGAAGCCAAAGGGACATCACCTGTTCAGTGGGACAAAGATATTAGATGCTTGCAATAGACTGCAATTCATACGGCGGGGTTCTTCCTGCAGACAATGCCATTTCGAAGGGGCTCGTCAGCATGTCGTCCATTTTGGCCAGGTGACTCAACAAAGTGAGGTGTTTTTGCCCCATGCCCGTGCAAAAGTTGATGGATTGGTTTGTCTCAACATAGGGGACCCCCCAAATTGAGGGGTTCCCCTCTAATTCACCTTGAGACCAACACAAAAAAGGCACCTCACGAAAAGACAACAAAGTTGGATTCACTTGGAAAACCGTCCGTGGTTCGGTCAAAGAATCGGTGCTCGTGCCTCCCCGAGCAATGTCCGTGAGGCTAGCCAAGAGGATTCTCCAGTTGGGACCGGGACGGGTGTGGGTCATGGACGTGCATTGGGTAATGACTCGATCAAGAACCACAGTACGGTTGGCAAATATTTTCCTGTATGAAGCAAAGATATGAGAGTCCCTCTTTCTAGTTTCAACGAGTCTCGGATCAGACATATTCAGTGTCCACATGGCCGTTGCTCATCAAAAACTACTCACAAGACCATCCATTGCTAGCAGACTTGAGTGTCCGTGAATGGACCGGCAGTGATGGCACATCAGCTCGATGACTTCTGAATGCTTGATCGATTGCCTAAGCCCGGTAAAGGGAAGGCAGTAGCTTCATCCTGCGGTCCTATGCTCAGATAATTTGTGTTTTTCCAGGGTTTCGTGGAACCGCGGACAGTTTTATTTTTTTACGCGCGGGAGGGGGGGGGGGAGAGGGGGAACATCTTTTGCAAGTCCTTTCGAGGACTTTGCGTGGCGGGGCGATGCTGGCGGGGTCTCCGCTTTTCCTGACCGACCTTGACGTCGGGAGCCCTGGGAAAAGCGTTTCAGTTGAGTGCTGAGTGCCGTTCCCAAAAGTCCGGGACTCACACTTTGGCAGGTCAGGGCCAAAACTCTTGGCTGCACCAGTCTTTCAATACGCGTGTTGAAACGGATTGAACGTTCGACCCACCGGCCGAGGCACCTATGTACTGGACGGAGATCCAGTTTGTATTGTGCTTTGCCTCAGCTCGGTTTTTGGCGCTCGGACATTCAGAGACAGCGACACCTCAGAAAAAAAGCTCAGATCATCTCACACCCCCCTCCCAAACACAACCCTTTCACAACCATTTGGGAAGGATGAACATCGACCAGTTTCATGTTTGGAGGTGTGTGGTGGGCGGGGGGGTCCTAGGAAAAGTTCTATTAAGAACCCTTCAATCAGAACCCCTTCGATCAGAAGGCTGCAGAACCTTTCCTGGGTGGGGGGGGGGGTCCTTTGGTTTCCTAACAGCCTGTTGCCAAGCGGAGGCATCCGAGTGTTGGTTGCCAACCCCAAAAGGGTTATCCTTGAAACGGACACACCCAGGAAGTCCGCGCAAATTGAGATTGGCATTTGTTCTGTTTGTCTGTGGTGAGTGGTCGCGTGAGGTCTGGTCCCATCAATGGCCTCTTTGAGCGAATGTTCGAGACGGAGGCTGGTCCACTGTTTTTGAACGGAGCCGGGCTCTCAGAATGTCCTGCGCCGGACAGAAAGAACTTTTTCTGTGCTTATCGGATCCTTTTCTGCGATTCAATGTGTCAATTGAGGAACTGACCTGTTTTTTTGGCCAGTCTGGGGTAACTTGCACACTTTCCCATGTGAATGGTCACTACAGTCGCCAAACTGCCATGAGGAAGGGTTGGGAATGCGGCACTCAGCAGACTTCCATGTCAGTTGGGAACACTCAGTGGCTCACTGCGTGCCCAGGTCTTCTTGCTGACCTTGTGCGTGCCTTACTCTGCTGCATGACATTTGAGCAGGGGGTTGCAACAGAATGGGGGCCAACTTGGAACAACTTAGTAAACGTGGTCCTGACAGTTTTCAATGGTACAAGTCAAAACCAGACACGGGTCCGACAAGACAGGCGGGCCTTCTGTTTGGAGCAGCCCTCAACTGTGCGCAGCAAAGTTTTGGTGATAGCTTGGATTCTGCCTCCGCCTCCCGTCGAACGGT